AAATGGCCCTTCTTTGGATTTCAATATCTCAACTAAAGCACCTATTAAGAGCTTAATAGTAAGGCATATAGTTTATTATACTATTCAATATTTACAAAGGCATTTATCATGCCTTAATAAATACCAATCACTTGAGTAATATAAATTACCGCTGTTATTTTCATACTCTGAGTAAATTTAAGAATATATAGTAGAATTTAATCTCTAAAAATTTTGAAAAATAATTTCTGAACTATTTATACTTAATTATACTATATATCTTACTTACACTTTATCATATTCATCTTTGCGTGAGATATAGAAGTCTTGAAAAGGGCCCTTTTCTATGGAATACAGAGGTGGCCCGCTCGGTTGTGTGGCCCGCTCGGTTGTGTGGCCCGCTCGGTTGTGGATTACGTTACTATCTCTCTATAGCAGAGATTCACCACTTACACACTATCCATATTCAGCACTGTCAGCACTGTATCTGGTAAATAAGTCCCTCAAGAAGAGATTCTCTTACATTCTATCCACATCACATCTCAGTTAGCACTATATCTTATAGTTACCTCTCTTCAGCAGAGGTTTATCACTTGCCACCTAAACCATAGTCCATCTTAGTCAGCACTATACTTTGTAACTAGTTATCTTTCTCTAGTAGATGTTCATCACTTAACGTATTTCACCACCGAGTGGGCCACACCACTGAGCGGGCCACCGCATCCATAAATCTGCCCGCAGGCCAAATACTAGAGCCTCTATCAACCAAGCAATTGCATTTCTATCTAAAAATCAATTAGGAACTCGATTAGGACATTGCAATCGCCTATGTCCTAGATTATGGCAGTCACTGCAGCGCGGTGACGCTTGTACGCGCGGCCTAGTTCCAGAAAGTGCTGGGTCTATAGGAAGCATATCTTAAGCATTATAGACCTCATTCTCACGCTGGAATTGCTCTAGGCCCTCCTGAACAGCTGGTCCCTCTGCTATAGCTAGCTGTCTATTAGAGCGCTTTTACTTTTGCCCTTTCCATTCATTATCAGTGCGATGTTTGCGTATTTCGTCCCGCGCAAGAACAAGCTCATTAAGTGTCATTTCATGACCTTTAATAATCTTATCTAATCGCGCTTCTAGCAAAGGAAAAGGGCTTTGAGTACATTCCTTAAGTAGTTTTTTTGCTGCAGATGCTTGCTTCTCCAACTGCCTAGTAGTATAGGGTGTTTTAGGCGCTAAATTGGTTGATCGACTGCCTGGTGGTGTAGGGGTCTTTAGTTGGACATCCAACTGACTGAGTACCCTATCTGGATCAAATGGAACTAGGCCAGCGCCAGCGAAGCTATTTCTAATAGTTTCTGTTTGAAAAGTGCTTTCTTGAGCAGCTGGAAAGGCCTTTAAAAAGTTAAATTTATTAATATGATTAACTCCTAAACGCGCTCTCTGTTCCACCAATGTTCCGTATGCCTTTTTTAAAGGCGAAAAGCAGCCCACATCTAGCGGTTGAAGCTTGTGGGAAGAATGAGCAGGCATGCAGATAGGAATTATATTATTTTCACTGCAGAGTTGATTGAATTAAGGGGTAAGGTGGCTGCTATGGCCATCAAGAATTAGAAGGCGATATTTCCCAGTCATTCAACTAGAAGTAGTAGGAATGAAGAGATTTTTAAGCCAGCGAAGGCCTATCTCATCAGTAGTCCATCCATTAGGACTAACTTCAATCCTACTATCGCGTGGGAGTGTGATATCTTGATACCAACCCTCTATATGGACTTTTCCTTTGAAGATAATGTATGGAGGAAGCGCCCAACCAGTTAAATTAATGCATTCAATCGAAGTAACCCATTCCCGATTGCCTGGCTGTACAAAAGAGGCTTTTCCATAGTAATCAGCTCTAGTAACTACTTGAGCAGTAGCTACTAGGCCTATAGCAAAGCCTGTCTCATTAAAATTGTAGATATCCTCCTGTGCAATCCCATGTTGCATAATAGTGATTTATACGCGGTTAAACCACTCCCTAATTATTTTAGGGTCTTCGCATTTCGCTCGTCGATAATTATAGCGTTGAATATAGCGTGTTTTCAGTTCGTCACGACGTCTAATGAACTTCGAAGCCCAATTTATGCTAACTATTTGAATAGGCCTTGTACCGCACGCAGCAAGAAGAATATCGGCCATTTCTTGTATATGGGATGGTCGGGGAGGTGCTCTACGTTGATCTAGTGATAGAATCCATTGCACAAGCGATTCCTCTTCATTTTGAGTTAATTTATGGCTGTTAGCGCATGTTTCTGCGCGTGAAGTGGTTCCAGCAAGTCGCCGTTAGAGTGTTGTGCGAGAGATATTATAGACGCGTGCTGCTTCGCGAATATTGCAGATTTCCTGCTTTTTTAAAGCAGAAATAGCAAGGATAATTCTTCCCTCTTGCTCAACTGAATTTCTTGACTTTTGACGCGCTTTTGGAGGCATGGTTGATGGTTGGATTAGTTGAAGCAGTAAGAGGCGTCGATTTTTGAAGCGGTGGCCCGCTCGGTGGTGTGGCCCACTTGGTGGTGAAATACGTTACATACTATCCATATTCCATCCCAGACTCCCAGTCAGCACTGTCTCTTATAATCTTTTTTTTTAGTAGATATTGATCACTTACATCCTATCCACATCCATCTCAGTCAGTACTGTACCTTGTAGTCTGCTCTCTTCAGCAGAAATTGATTATTTACCTTCTATCCACACCATCCCATCTTAGTCATCACTGTATCTTATAGCCATCTCTGTTCAGTAGATAGTAACCACTTACACACTATCCATAATCCATCCCAGTCAGCACTATATCTTGTAATCATTTCTCTTTAGAAGATATTAATCACTTACATCCTTTCCATATCCATCTCAGTTAGTACTGTATCTTGTAGCCGTCTCTCTTTAGCAGAAATGGATTACTTACATTCTATCCACACATCCCACCTTAGTTAGCAATGCATCTTGTAATTATTTCTCTTCAGGAGATATCAATCACTAACACTCTATCCACATCCCGGCTCAGTCAGCACTCTACCTTATCGTGAACTCTCCAGTAGAGATTCATTACTTACAGGCTATCCACAACCCATCTCAGTCAGCATTGTATATAGTAGAGGTCTCTCCAGCAGACTTTCAACACTTACATCCTATCCACATCCCAATCTAATCAGCACTGTATCTTGTAATTCTCTCTCTCTAGCAGAGACTCATCACTTACACACTATCCAGCAACCAAATATCCATAATAGGTGAATAACTTCAAAGTTAAGAAGTATTGTAGCTCCCTCCAAAGCGTCATAAATTCAATTACTCAGTTTTGAAAATACTGCACTTGTTCTTGGCTAATATAACAGCGGGGCTATTTTCTTTAGATTCCATCTATCCATGTAATTTTCTTTTTGAAAGTCAGGTTGAACGTTTAAGCAAGATATAAGGTGTAACAGTATCAATTTGGCTACATGTATTCTAAAGCACATTGAAATGGGACACATGTTGGAGAATTCTATGACGCGGAGTGAGGTAAAACATTCCATAGATAGTCCAGATAGTCTCTGTGGCGCTTGGATAAGATGCTGCAAAGCAACTCTAGGTCAAGTCATTGATTAAAAATTGGGATATGTCTATGATGCGTTGACCAGCTCTACAAGGCAGTTCCAGATTTAGAAGGAGACATTGATTAGAGAGGTGGGGCGCCTAGCACTGACTTTTGCTCTGGCCATCTTCTACTATGCTAGAGAAGCTGCTTAATAACTCCTCAAAATAACAGCATCAGCTGAGACTGTGAAAACATGAGAGGAGAGTATCCCATGTTGGGTATAGGTAGGTAATGTCTAATCGCGCTAGCTTCAATAGAACATTGCTATTTAAACTAGTGCTATGCCATTCCTAGGAAGACTAACCTATATTTCTAAAATCTATTTATTTGTAACTTCCTGACTCATTAATGTAAACTAGATGGTATGGATGAAAATCTTATTATGGCAGAAATCTTTTTACTGGGTATTTATTTTAGTCCTAACCTTCCCTAGAAAGAGCCCTTTTAATGGTGGAAGGCGATGTTGAGATATTGGATTCGTTGTATCAACATTCAACAGTCTGCCACCACCTCAAGATATTGGGCAGGCTTTTCTGTGAGGTGATCTAAAAGGACTTTAAGCATAAGCAGAGTTATACTTCGTCACTAACCTGAAAGGGGGGGCTTTAGCTACCAATCATCACCTAGGTAGCTCAAATACCCCGAACAGAACATTCAGCAGCACCAGCAATCTGTGCGGTAGTGAATGTTTTCTGCGTATCATACGTTGTATGAGTTTATGCTGCCAAGCTGAAGGTACCGTGCATGGTGTGCACCCAGTTGGTTGAAGAAAGGCAATTTTTGAAAATTAGAGTCGACCGGAGGTGGGCGAAGTGAGGTAGCTGTGTAATTTGAGTTTTGATAATACCAAACCCCGATATGTCAATATGTCAGTTGAGTCGGTTCCGGTTCGTGCCGTTTCCTTATGCTTAAAATATGTCGATCACTGGCTAACCTTAAGTGGCCTAAGAAATCTATTAGCGCCTTGGCATCAGGGTTTGGAAATAATGTAGGCTTATGAGCCTTCCTGCCACAGAGATCTACACTGATTACAATCCTTTTACGGAAAGGTCGATGGCGGTGTCTTGATGTTGTTGGCTTTTGATTTACACAGGTTACAGGTGACCTCACCCTTCGGAGGAGTTTGGGTAACCAAAAGTGGGTTGTCACACCCTGCTGAAATGCCTGCATCCCCCGGCGCATGACCGGCGGGTTTTTCTTGCAAGAGTTCCTTTGATCGTTTAGAGACCAACAGAGTCAGATTGTCTTCGGCATTTACCATCAAAAATTGCTGGGTGGAGCAGTCCTTTGTACATACTTAACAAGCATCCTCATTCACTGCATTAAGTAAGCTCTCTGTTCAACATAATTATGACAAGCACTGCGCGCTATATATTTAGCCGCATGGCCAGCTTCAAGGCAGTCGTTGACCTTATGGCTCTAACTTCATGACTCCGTGGTAATTACAACCAATGGCCGTCAAACCCAGCGACTTGGCAGAAGGAGATGTAAAGGCCGGCCGGATCGTAGCATCATTAATCGCACTGTTCCTGCTCTTGAGCTTAGCCATGCTGATACCGCGCGCCTTGGCGATCGTGTCACACTGATCGCCGGAGGAGATCTTGTAGAAGCCATCGCAATTCTCTGAAATGCCCGGCATGGTGGGGGAGTTTGTCGGAGGCTCGGAGCGGATGAGGTGGTGGTGGTGGCCCTGGTGGTGGTGGACGTTGTCGTCGTGAGCGTGATGTCCGGGCCATCGTCAGTGACGGTGCCGATCACGCAGTACTACTTGCTCGTATGAAGACCTGGGCAGGTGATACCGGGGTTCAGCCACTGGAGACGTCGACGGACAGTCCCCAAGTGCTGGCAAAGTTCTCGCAGGTATCACCCTTGACAGCACTTGTGGTGAAGGAGCACTCAACAGCGCGGCGGGAGAGCGCACATGCTAGGCCTGGCATGACCCCGGCGGTGGCGAGGTGTGTGAGCTGTATTCTCCTGTATGTGGACCTTGAGTCTGTAGGGGAAGTGTGGGTGTGACCGAGGGGCTACTGTATAAGCAATCGATAATCGCCTGCGGAGGAAGGACCCTGAGAGAATGAGGGAATGATTAATAACCTACTACGATTATATTCTGATCTATATAGCACTGTCAAGGGCGCCACGGCTTCCGCTGACCTCTGGCCAAACTCAAGTGTACCTACACACCCACACCTTGTGGTTCATTTCACTCGCCTACTAACTTTGCAGTAGCTGAAGCTCTATGATGTCAGACTAATTATTATAATACTAGTCCTGTATTCATGCAGTGTAGATAACTATCCTGAAAAGTGGGTATACTGGATGTAGACGGAACGCCTGACGGTGGACCCCGTATCGTAAAGTGGGAAACATGCATTGATCACACACGCCTCATAACACTTGCCAATGCTCAGAGCATCGGATGCCCCAACTACTACTCCGTAAAATTAGTTCCCGGTGAAGCAAGATACACAAGTCAGGAACCATTATGCGCGGATTGGGCGATGGACCTCAAGGAGCCAAGCTCGCAAAGTCCATGCAGGGCTAATGAATGAGTGTAACGCTGCAGTGTACCTCCGCCCGCAGCGCCAAGCCTTGGCAGTCAAAACGACCATTCTTTTGTTTAGGTCGTCTTAGCTCCTTGGCACCCATTCTTGGCGCGCAATCTCACGGTTTCGATGTTTAAATTGGAGGGATGCGGGGATTCAGCCTTACCTGCGGTATCTAAGGTACTGTTAGCAGGTAGTGCATGACTCGAGTAGCCTCGGCGCCAGGGGTTGGGAGATTAGCCGCCTAGTGCCCCTATTTTATTTCCTCTGCCAACATACGTTCATTACAAATATCCTCATTCGCCTTGCCCGCCTAATTGTTGGGTGCTTGCTAGATCCTCGCCGTTCTCAGAGTGAACAAGACCCTTTTTTCTCGTTTCCGACCTCGGCATTCCACTTAATCAAACTCGTGAAATTCAATCCCTGCCCCGTCGAACCCCTTAGCCATGCACATTCCCCAAGTGAGGTGGCTCGGATTTCTAGGCGCCATAGTCGCAACTGCGCACGCAGTCGAAGTAGACTTGGTCTTCCCTCGCAATGAAACATATTCACCAGCCGACTCATTCCCTATCATCTTTGCTGTGCAGAACCCGCAGAGTGCAGAACTCCTCAACCTCCGCATCTCCTACGACATCCGCAAGGACAATAACAGAAACAATCAGACCACCCTAAACCACGATCTGCGCTGGGCGAACTGGTCCAGCAGCGCAGGCCCTTACCTGGCATACAAGTACGTCCGGGACCTCAACACCACGGGAAATTGGATCGTGGCCTGGGAGCTCTACTGGCAAAGCTGCGACGAGGAGGCGCTGGCCAATGGCGGTGAACACGACGGGGTCTTTGAACACTACTACTCCTGGTGGCAGCACTTCACCATCGATGATTCCCCCCCCAAAAAAGTGGATCTCGTCGCAGCGACCGCCAACGCCACCTGCCCCGAGGACAGGAACGCGGTTGCGATCAATGTTACCGACACAACTATGCATTCGCCCCCAGGTGTCAACACCGCGGGCCGCGACACTTGCGTCGTTACGGCCAACTCGACTGCTAGTGCCACGCGCACTACCCCGGACCCCTGTCGCGTCGCTATCGACGCGGATACCGAGGCCAGTATGGCCGCCGTTCACCAGAAACTGCTCTGCGATCGTCTGAAAAACCCTAACCCGCCTGAAGACTGTCCTGCTGAGGAGAATGGCGCTCAGCAGTTGGCTGTACTTGCTTCCTAGCTGCTTTCGGAGTTGTTGGGTTTGCGCTCTTGTAGATGTATACTTTTGTTTATGTTGGATCTAGGATCTAGACCAGCCTTGCTTTTCTTTCCTTGTACTTGCCGCCAAACGCGACGTGCCTGTCATTCTCGGGTTCCACCAAGTTCGCTGGCTCGGCCAAGTTCACTACGCCGCTTCTGAATGGGAACCACACGACCACCAATTCGACTATCCTGGTTCGCAATCTGGCTTAGAGTTGCATTCGGTCCGAGTTCGGGCGAGTCCAACCCTAGTTGGAACCGAACCACTGCGGTTTCGAGTCCAAATTTTAGAAATCGGAACCAAACCTGATCCATTCCGATTTGGTTCGAGTTTAACCGTAAAAACCGGCCACTAGGCCTAGATAGGCCTAGCTAGGCCTGTACTAACTAACCATAGTTAGATTCGGTTCGATTTCAGGCGGGTTAAACCACTATCATTCAGTGAATTTTAGTTATTTTAAAATTTTAAATGATCATTAACTGCTATACTATCTACCATAATATCACTATACCCATAGAAAATTAATATTTTTATATGGAATATATAGTATTTATCATCATAATAATCTATATCTAAAATATTGATTCAATATCTATAGGGTTGAATGGGTGGTAGTAAAAAAATCATTTCTAAACCATAATAGGTGTCAACCATCAGTTATGTATATATATAAACCACCACCACTTTCATACTAACCTATGATAGAAATGATTATTCCCTTATATCTCAGCAACCACTAGGTATTCTGAATTGATATTTATATATTTAGATAGCCTAGATTTAGGGCTATTTAGTGATATTAATTTTATTAGGGAAATCCCAGAAATTAGTGATTTTTATCTAAAACAGTGTGGATTAGTTAGTTGAATCTGATAAAACCGCAAAATCTGTAACTAATGGTTTTAACCGAACTCAAATCGGTTTTATACTATGGAAACCAAAACCGGCGCGATTCCCTAGCCTATAAACCGAACCCTCACTGCTGTGAGTTCGGTGAGGGTCGGATTCAATTTTAGCGGTTCGGTTATGCAACTCTAGTCAGGTAACTTGAGCCTTAGCCTCTGTACTACCCAGGAAGTAGAGATTGCACACTGCCATCTTTCTTAGGCTAAGTCATTCTACTAGGGTGCGATTGTCCGCCTTCCTACCTGGGGCATGCTGGTTCACAACGTCTAGGTCAAGTCTATTAGTGATCTGGGCGTTCCCTAGGAGGTAAAGCAGGTGACTAACTAGTTACTTATAGAGAACTGCCATGCCTGGGGTGATAGTAATGCTGTATGCATTATCTATATCACCTAGCTTACTAACCACCTAACTAATAAGAAGTTCTCTACTTTAGTAATTAAGTTTTCAACCCCCTAAGCTACCAACAAAGCAATTAATAATGGGACCATCTGGGATTCTATAATTTTGACCATAGTCTTATATGACTAGTCTGCTCGCATCTACTGGTGCTTCAACTATCAGTAATATAGCTATATAGGAAGCATCTGTTCTAATAGAATAACCTATAGCCTCTGCGCAGGTAGCTATAAGACCTATAACTACCCTTAGCAGTCATCTACTGACCAGGGGTCTTAAAAGTGCGCTAACTACAGGGATGCATATGCTGCCTAGTCTAAAGGGTGCAAGAAGTACACAGAAGAGGTAGATAAGATATAAGCAGCATCCTGCTACCATTAGTGATACCATCACATCCCATTATACCTGCAGAACTTCCACTAGGATACTAAGAGTAGCAGCTCAGATTCCACCACCATACAAAGTGCCTCTACCCTACTGTCTAAACAGACCCCTGTCTCAACACTGGTGGAAGACGTGATAATGTAACCAGAGGGACCTGGGGGATCAGAAATTAAGGGAGCTAGGGGACTAGTAAGACCTAAGGGATCTACCACAGCAAAGATAAAGGCTACTGGATTATCCAAGAGAGTAGATATAGACTCCCAGAAATAGAGTAGATATAGACTCCTATCACTTAGAGAGGGAGTGGATATAGACTCTGACTGTGGACTCCCAGAATTGCGGTCAGCGGACCTTGTGGTCGGCCCTAATTAGTATGGCAACCGTGGACTCCGCGCACGACACCGTTACTAGGCTACATTGCCCGCTTCTACTATAAATTCCCGTCGCTATGGATATTGTCGCCCGCTCAAGGGACAGCATAAGCAGTTCAAATGCCAGTCAATCGCTCTCTACGATTCCTTACTCTCGTTCATCTTCACGCTCCTGGTCGAGCCCCAGTGTGCCTCGCCGCTCGTGCGAGATATCACAGGACATTGTTTTGCAATTTATGAGTTGAAATCAGGAGTGGTTGGATGAAACTTAGAATCGAAGTCCCTTTTTCTAGTTCTAGCCACGAACATGCACTGCACACAGGCGCCGGTGCAATAAAACCTTAAGGCACAGACGGTATCTTAAGCGAGCTGGCGTTAGAGAACCCCACATCACACGACGGAGCCGCGATAGGGAGACGAATTATGTGTCAATCGTCAAAACAACCAGGCCCACTAGTGCGGTAATTGTCCATCTCGAAGCTTGAGCGTAGGCTGATCAAAGTTGTCGTTGTTGAAAATTGCATCGGCGAGGGAGGATGGCTGGCATAGGCCATCATAGATATTAAAAGCGGGCCGATACCGCATTGCATAGAGCTGCCGTGCGGCCTCTAGTCCTCCCAAATGGCTAGCATCTCGATGTATACCTCGTTGCTCTGAAACTTGCTCTGAGGTTTCAACAAAAATAGTCAAATCCCAACCATCACGCAGTTCTGGTCGCTGGAGGAAGGTGCCATCCACAAGAAGTATAGCATTATTTGCGGCGAGGTGCGGTCGTTGTTCAATAGGCTCATCCTTATCAAGGTCAAACGATGCCGTGCGATAACGTCGATCACCATCTGGTCCCAACGGGGAGAGGAGAAGGGTGTTGATAGCCTGAAGATCACGCGCATCATAGTAATAACCCTCAGCGGAGAAACGGCCGCGCGCATAGCGTTCGATCTTGGGTCTATGAAATCCGTCGATTGAAGTACGAATAACGTTCCTTCCTTTGACTGAGAGGATCTTTGAAAGCTCATCGGCAAGCGTAGTTTTCCCAGATGCTGTTCGCCCGTCGATTGCGACGCGAGTTGGAGAAGATTGGTTGATGCCTAAGATCAAAGATGCAAGCTCTTCAAGAGCCGCAGCCCTTTGCGCAGATGCCATTGCCAAGGTCCTTGGCTAAATAGTAACAGTTTTACGTGCTCGGGGATGCTGTCGGGGAGAGGTGGCCTAGTCATGTTTAGAACTAATTTCGGAAGCGGTGAGAACGGTGGGATATAGCAGACGATCTTGCCAGATCGCTAGATCTACCAAGGTGTTCGAGGAGATTCGATGTATCCATTGCAGGTTTATTACAATACATACGTTCCTGAATAAGGTATAGTCATTACCACCATAGTTCTGCCTAACTGATAGAGCGGTTACCCTAAACAGGATTAGCGTATTTCGGATTTATTCTTCGGAAATCAAATCGAAAGAGTTAAAGGTTGTTGAATTCGCTAAGCTAGTAACATTCATGGATCACTAGTAATTTATATGGCCAATTGAAAGTCAATGAAGGTCTGGTTCTTCTAAATGAATGACTATCTAGCTCCTATTTATGCCTCTCGATAGCGGTAGAATTTGAAGCTATTCAAACGATCAAATACTATCGAATATTCGGCCAAGGGTGGCAGTGCTAAGCCAATTCGTATGTCTTCCTAATCGGGTAAGCGGTCATATAATTCAATAAAGGTCAAACTGATTTCGAAAACTACTGTAACTCTGCAGTCTTCTCACATAATTCTAAGCTGATCGCCTCTGCCTTAACTGATGGGACTGTCAAGATCTGGGATGCCACCAGCGGCCATTGCCTGCAGAAGCTCAAGGGCAATACTGGCTCGGTCAAATCTGTGGCCTTCTCTTATGATTCCAAGCTGGTCGCCTCTGCCTCGGATGATTGGACTGTCAAGATCTGGGATGCCGCCAGCAGCCATTGCCTGCAAACGGTTAATGCTGGAGGGATAACCAGGGTAAAATCTTTCTGTCGCACCAACTCATACGTTGAACTTGACCGCGGAACTATGCGCTTATCCTTGGTTTCACTTGCCATACCCGCTGAACATAGTTCCGAAGCGCCGGCATTCCGCAGATGTGGCATTAGTTCTGATCGTGCGTGTATCACCTGGGACACAGCGAATCTGTTATGGCTACCCCATGAGTACCGGCCGTATACCATCGACACTACAGTATCGGCTATCAGTATCGGCTGCAAAACGGGAAGGGTGCCAGTATTCAAAATCGATCCTAGACGACTCTCCGACTCCATTACCAACCCCTAGATCCTTTTTTCATACTATATTAAATAAAATGAACTAGATATACATGGTTATTCACTTCGTAATATTACTAAAATCCAAGCAGGTGTCACATAGTTCTCGCAACATCATCATTCACACTCTATCTTCCAATACCTTTGCAAAAAGATTGGCCCAAACCATTTGTTGTATTTATAATTTTATATATACGATGCGCATTTGCCACACACGTGACTTCTGCCAAGTTCCAACTAACTCCAAATGCAGGGAAACACCAATGAGTATTGGGCCGTGGTGTTAAATCCTAGGGGCGTGCAGTTATTGCACGTGACGCCAAGGACACCAAGTATTAGTTAGACTCGCAAAACGGCGTCAAGTGTAGCCGTTTTTGGCCGCTGGCTAACTATTTCATCATTAAATGGAGTAGTCATTTCTCTTAGAGAACTTTAGGATCACTATGGATGTATTACTTAAGAAGTTATCTATTATAAGAAGGCAGAATAAACTCATATAGTAAGTAGGTGGAGGCCAAATCCTATCTGCTATGCTGTTTGCATCCTTTGACCAAGTCATTAATTAGTGAAGTATCTCCAGCTTAAATATATGGTAATACAGCTGATGTCTTGCTTCTAGCGGAGAAAGATCTCGCTGCATAAGGCGAGCTAATAATGTTGGCGGAACGCGTTTAATATGCACCTTGAGTGGTCTCGCCATCTTGCCTGGTTTCAGAAGCTAAATAAATGGTTTCATTAAGATTAGCCATGCTTGTGGTGTTGACCTGAACCCATGACTCCCTATATAGGCTCAATTAATTGGCAGTTCACATTCAATCAGACTCTGGGAACCCTTTCCACCGCTCCAAATCTTATTGATATTAAGGCCTGCCCCCGTTTCAATGAGGTTATACCAAGCTGCGCGGGTGCGTTCATGAGCAGACAGGAGTGTCAACATGACCATGTCGAGTGCTGTGGCTTCCCAGTAGGCACCTGTCTCCGGTATCACATGCTCGTGAATCAATAGCCTGCTGTATCCGGGCTTCATGGCAGCTTTGACTTGCGCAAGGATGCGTTCGCATACATCGTCTGGCCAGTCATGCAAACAATTATGCATATAATATGCTCGGGCGCCTAATTGTGTGAGTATGTATTTTCGCCTTCCAGAAAAAGAGGTTGTGGTGCCACAGGGGCCTTACCATTGACGGGCTGTTTCGTATGGAAGTCGTACTCCATACGGAGAATAGCGGGGTCTAAGTTCCGAATTTGGCCTATGACCACGGGTAAATCTTGAAGGATCAGCTTTCCTGGGACCCTGGGGTAAAATCTGTGAAATAGCTCCAAGTCATGGCCCACGTTGCCGCCAATATCGACGAGAAACGGAGCTTCTGGGTCAGTATTAGCACCGTCGATCAGTTTCTCTTTCACTGGATAGAAACTAGGGGCCATCCAAGGCAAAGAACCAAGGGCATAGCCGCTCATGTGGTCATTAAAATGTGTACCATAACCCAGAGATTGCTGCCACGCAAAAGTATCCATGCTGGTTCCGTAGGCGTACATCATTGCCGTGTCTTTCGCATCCGTGGGATTCACCCAGCCTCGCTTTCGGGAGAACTCGTGAAACCTCATGGGACCTGCACTTGTGCACGAGAGCCTGTGGATGTGAGCAGCTACAGGGAAAGCATTCGGGCTGAGAGATTGTGCTTACATGGCGAGGTAGCCATTTCCAATCACCGGAATGCTCATCGCCCTCGTGTAATTCGTCAACCTGTACTCGTCCACACCAATCTCGATGAGATACCCCATGGCACTGAGGTGTCGCATCAGACGACCTCATAGGGTGTTAGTCAGACTGGCCAGATGAGCTACCGTGAAACATACTCAGAAGTACATGGTCAATCCCAAGCTTCACTGCCAACTCGCCGACTTTTTGTGGCTTGTCGCCGTTTTGCGCCATGAGTGTCCACAACCCTGAGTCCACACCGAAATTGAGGCCGGCAATTGCACCAGTCTATCTGGTAGTTAATCCATTTTTATCTGCCACGCACTGACTACGTGGTACTTACCAGTGCCCAACAATGATAAACCATGGTCTCTCGGGGAGTCTCCAGGGCTTGAACCAAGGTGCGGCATTTGGCAAGTAAGTCTTTTCGGCCTACATTGCTAGTAGTAAACATATCAAAAGATTGTGTAATCTCCTTTAGTAGCGTGGGAACCGCTTCGATGTCGTTCGGCTCGGTAGCGAAAGATACATCGATAGGGGATTGGCCTTGCTCTGTTCTCTGGGCTGGCATACTGCTCATAAATAAGCACTCAGGTGCGATCAAACTACGAAACAGTGTGGTATACAGACCTGGTGTACTGCTGCAGATGTAGGCAATTATGTTGCAGGGAGGCTCAGTGTATGTAACAAGGTCGAATATATCTGTTAGGGGCTAAAAATCGAGACACTTATTGTCACTTGAAGCACTCGAGGTCACCGTCTATTTGGAATGTTGGCACCCGATTTAAATCTCCGCCGACGTTTCCGCTCAACTTAAAGCAATTTATGGACATTTGCTCACGTATATGGTCACCCTGTAGAGGAAAGCCTTGTACTGATTATTCGACTAAATTCTGGATAGGTCGCAAAAGAGGGGTTAGTTGCTCTGTTCCCGGCCACGTCAAGAGTCGATAGTAGGTCATGTGGTTACACAAAGAGATGTCACAAAGTTTAGGCTCATGCTCATCATAAAGTCACTGTAAAAGTCGGTGAAGAACTTCGGAATGTCATGGCTGCATCTAAATCGCCTAAGCTGATCCTTGATTGTGTGAAGGCGAGTCAGAGTTACCACGCCCATAATTAGGAAAGTTAGTTCTATAACTGTTTTGTTTTGGAATACGCTTATACATGGAAGTTACGATATTCCGTAAGATTACCCTGAAGGGGGCCAAATCCAAGTCACCAGCGGCCAGCTACATTAACACAGTTGATCGTGAGCGTTCTTTGCGCCGGATTTATAACATCAACAATGAGCGCTTACGCCTATCCGATGCTCACAGAATTGAATGTACCGTTGTCTTATTGACATCACCCGGAATCCCGGCATTAGAAACCTCGTGAAAGCTGAAAGCTGTGTAACTGAGGCCCACAATTGGATTCATGAGCAGATAAAGGGCTACCCAGCTAAGCTTGGGACTTTTGCTGCATTGGCTATGCACGACCTTGTCTAAGCTTGCCAGAAGCTACGCCAATCTGTCGATGTATTAGACTTTTAGGGCGCAATGTTCAATGACTTTCCGGTCTGGGCCTAATGGAGAAACTTATCACTTTTATGATCAACCAGCATATGATGCTTTCTAGCGCTTGGTGGTAAAACTTGATATCCCAATCTACCTCCACCCGGCCCCTACCACCAGACATTGTTTTTGACAACTTTAGCCGAAGAGAAAATACCTCTTTGAACCCCCCTTTCATTTGCCAGTGGAGTCAGTCTTCATTTGCTGGGCATGTTTACCAACGGCGAGTTTGGTCAGTTTCATTAACTCAAAGTTATTATTGGATACTTCGGAAAGCACATACATACTGTTTGAACTTAGACGCATCAATCACTGGCTCGAGGATGCTAAGAAGCCCATTGCCGATGAAAAGGGCGATACATCCATATGCCTGCGAACAGTATATGTCTACTTTAAAAGAGAAAATATGGGTCACTACGAGTGGGCATTTCTTAACAGCAAACGCCGAAGCTGGTCGTTGCCGAAATTGGTGCCGACCGCGTTCTTTTCAGGGTAGAATATCTATACGAGACCATTGAAAATGGTTGTGCATGATGGAACGGTGATGCTGGTGCTATAAATAAGCTATGGGAGAGTGGAAAATTATCAGAAAAATTAGGCGTGACAACTCTTAAAAACTCCTTAAGCTGGATCACATCAAATTCATGCCTGCTAGATAGATAGTTGAGTGCTCTTTGTATGGAGAGCATCTAGATATTGGCTGATTCTTTATATCATCAGTCTTCTAAATTCCTTCACCAACTTTGAAATGAGCGTATCGAAGTATCAGGCATATTTTCAAACGTAATGGACTGTCTTCTCATGACAATTGTCTGGGAGGCAACAGAAGAAATCCCTAGTCACCTAGAAACGGCCTATTCTAGCGGCCTCGGTTAGACCACACGTTTTGTAGAGGTAGTGATCAGTAGCAGTTCTGTCTGTTGTCCTATGTCACATATAGACGTTACGTTTTGCATTTCGTTTATCCATCAACCTAGCAGATCCACGGGTAGACCCGAGTAAGACTCATCAGCGAGCTAGATAAGAGACGGCGGCACCGCTACATGATTCACGCAGTATCAACACGAAATATTGAGATGTCACTAGAGACTTAAGATAGCGAGATTAATCCAACTGCCAAGTCAATAACTCACTTCGCCCTGTATCGGAGCTGCTCCTATCAGGTTAATCCTCCTCCCCCGCCTCTTATAACAGCAGCCCGCCCTCCTCTTCTCCACTAATCGCCAGATACGAGGACAATGTTGTATAACCTTAGAAGATTCTAAGCTAATGCAGTCTATGCTGCAGGAAGACTGGTTGTCATGCCCCCAGTATGGTCTGGACTATTTAAGGCACAGCACCGAGGGGCCGATGATATTGATTGAGAGCATACAAGTAATAGTCGAAATTTTGAAATTTTCTAGGACATCGTTAACATACTATGCTTTGTGATTTTGGTGCAGCTACACTTTGACGGCACTTCCACGGTTGCTATCCCGCACCCAACCGTCTCGTATGTCTACATTCGATCATGGAAAGATCCTGACCAGGCATTTGCACCTAGCAATATTACAACAACGCCCTACCCTGAGAGAACGCCTCCCTGCCAAGGGAAAACTACATAACTTGCTTTTAACCAATTGCGTCTTCATGGGGTCATATTCATCTCCTGACTGGAGGCAGTTAGACATCGCCGTTGTTGGCGGCGGGATAGGAGGAATGTCCGCGGCGACCGCCCTGCGCCGTGCCGGCCACAAGGTGTCTATTTACGAACGTGCCGATTTCCTTGGTCAAGCCGGTGCTTCTATTTCCTGTGCAGCGAACGGTACGCGCTGGCTACATGAGTGGGGCGTAGACGTGGCTAAAGGCGATGGGGTCATCCTACGAAAGCTCATCAGCCGCGATTGGACGACGGGCAAGATCCTGACTGAGTATGAACTGGATGACTACGAGGAACGATGGGGATATGTGTACTACATGTTTCAGCGGCAGTGTATGCACACAATGTTGAAGGATTCAGCATTGGGGGAGGGCGAAGGGGTGCCCGCGAAACTCTTCATGAATCACAAGGTAAGGTGTAGAGTCACTATAAGCACACCTACTTGCCCCAGGCCCTTCCACAACCGATCTAATGTTTCTTCTCAGTGCAAGAACATCGATATCAATACCGGTTTGATTGAGTTTGAGAACGGAGAGATGGCCAACCATGATCTCATTATCGGCGCGGATGGGATCGGATCCGCTGTTCGTGGTATTCTCGATATCTGGCCTGAGAAGCGACCCGCCGAGTCTAGCTGCCTACATGCAAACGTCGTCACTGAAGACGCGATCGCTGCTGGTCTTGCTGACTTCTCTAAAGATAACTCCCTGCAGTTCTGGGGCGGCCATGGGGAGGTCTGGGACAAGATCGTTCTCTCTCCATGCCGAGGGGGCAAGTTGCTATCGTACTATTGCTTTTTTCCGCGGGAGAAAGGAGACTACGTGAATCATCATTGGGGGGAAGCTGACCGGCCGGTGGAAGAGCTGCTGGCGCCGTACCCTCAACTCGATACGCAAGTCCGCGAACATTTGGCCCTTGGCAAAGAAATCCAGCCATGGCGTCTATGGATGCAGTGAGTTTAGCCTAACCCATAATTGGCCTTTAATCAACGAGCCTGATTGTTCGCAGTGAACCGTATCCATATATTGCGAGAAACATGGTCTGCTTACTAGGTGATGCAGCTCACCCAGTATGTCACAGTCTTGAATTATCCGGGTTAGCGGGATCAAACATTGAAACTGACTGACATTCAGATGATGCCTCACCAAAGCCAAGCGGCCTGTATGGCCATTGAAGACGCAGCTGCCCTGGGCATTCTTTTTAGCAAGAAATACTTCACGGGAGATGTATTTGAGTCACTATCTACCTATGAGTCAGTTCGTCTCCCGAGAGCAACCAAGGTTCAGGCAGCAGCGGCGAGAGCCTCACACAATATCAACGAGCGAATCGGTAAGTTAAAAGTACCTTAGAAACCCCCCATGCATGCACATTAATGTCTATGTAGGATTCTCCAGCAACATTCACAATCCAGTTTACGTGGTGAAGAGTGAGCAGGGGAAATTGACAATTGAAGAGATGAATGCGTGAGTTGACAATCCTTTTGAAGCGCTCTAGTCTGATTAGTATCAGTTATAATATGCACATGCACATCAACGAGGTAGTCTCCAGACGCACCGGGCAAACATACACTCACAAGTACACCCGCGGTCTGCCAATGGGGCTAAAGCTATCAAACGGGTATACCGTTGGAGCTGAAGATTGGTCTTACGACTAGAGTATGCCCGATACGAGCTAGACCCAGTATGGTAATACATAGTCATGGATAGTCTTTCCCTCAACTACTCCACCCTCGCACGTGTATTTAGATAGCGAAGTGGGGAAAGAGTCCCCCTACATGGTTGAGACGGATGGCCTAGCACTGATCGGGCTGGTCTCCGCCTGAAAATATGCTAGGTGGACAGCATACAGACGTTCATTTAGATAGTACGAGAATGGACACTTTTACAACTTTATCTGATCTAATTCCTGGGTGGTAACACCAAGTTGCCAGCGCCAATGCTATTTCTATGGGTCGTTGGTGTTGCACCTGCTGGATTGACTGTACAATGATGACCCATCCACCGCTAAGTGTACTAGCCTATGAGGGTTCCTCTTCTCAACAGCCGGAGTGCACCTAACCTCTGACTAGAAATCGACAACCGCATTATTATCGTCCCGGCAGACGGCTATCTAGGCGCGGTCTTGGGGGTGGAAATACTCCTCACTTTAAAAAAACGCGCCCGGTGCATTGATTCAAAAGCAAATGAGATATGACTGAAAAGATATAGGCCATGTCTACACGAAGTTAAGTAGAGACCTGGCGGAGTGGGATCAACACAGTGCGCAACCTGGCTCAGACTTATGCCAAATGCCCGTGGCTTTACAATAGGTTTTGTCCGGTATCCAATGTGGTTTCGCCTCCATTGCAATTTCGATTCGACGTAGTCCTTCGATCAG